GTATATTATATATATATATATATATATAATATATATATATATAATATATATATATATATATTATAGTATATATATATATAAATATATATATATATATATATATATATATATATATAATATACTAATATATATTATAGTATACTAATATACACATCTCGAAAATCCGCTCTGGAAGACCAGTAGTCTCTAAGACTAGGAAGTCCCATTATTCCCATTAGTAGATTTAATGCTAAAAATACCCGCATTTGTTCTGCATTGGTTTGTGTAAATCTATTCTCGTGACCGTCGCTATTTTGGACCGCATATAGATTGGTTTAAAAGACAATATTATCAATAAGGTCCTTTGTAAAGAGTTGAAGAAATCCTTCCACAGAAGAATCAATATTGTCTGGTATATTAAGATCGACTGGTTTATTAAATTTTTTTTTATAGGCAATGCAATTTTGGGAGTCCCTCGTCCAAATTGTATTTTAAAAGCAAATATTTCCTTCTACGTATATCCAACGAAGTATCATCATCTTCACTCCCATCTGCATCAATTTGATTTGTCTCTAAGGCGTCCTCAACTTGGTTTTCCACTGAAACGGCGTCTTCAAATATAATCGGCAAAGACCCTATATCAAAAATACTTTCATTCATATTTGTTGTTAAATTCTGTTTCCTCATCGTCATCGGAGCTGTCATCAATATTTGAATCTACATCAGATGGAATGTCTTTAATAAGAGTAAAGATTTCCTCTTGAGACATACGTTCCAAATCGGCATAGGAATGTTTAATTTTGCCTGACACAAAAAAGTATGCATTTGCCTTGTGTCCCAGCACTGCACGTCTGCCACCACTATAGTTAGAAGGTGTAAAATGTACTAAATTCATCACTGAATATTACCACACAAATACAAACAAATATAGGTTACCTATACAATATATTTTTAGAAAAACTTACCAGAAATTTTATTAAAAATCATGAAAAACTCATAAATATTACAGGACCATCAACCACGTGCTAAACCACTGTAAACATACCACGATAAAAATATTACCAATGTCCAGTGAAACAAAATTTGATGTTTGAGTCGTTGGAGGGGATCTCGACAATCCGCGCAAGGAACACCAAGCTACAGCATAAAATTGTTTAAAATGTGTCTTATACACATTTATATGATGAAATTAACAACACTAAAATAACTAGCACTAATAGTCCAGGGGGATTTGTCGAAAAGCAGACCATAATGGAGATTTTCCATATGATTCTATTTTTTTGCCGGAATAACTTAAAGATATAACTTGATCGTTAATAACAATATGCCCCAGTAAAAAACCTTGTGGTTAAATTTTGTATTTAAAAAAAATTTGAAAATTCGTCTAGCTAGAAATTAAAAATTGATGTTTGTTGTTTAAAAATTAGCAAAAATTGAGAGAAAGTTACAAACAATGAAATTTTTCCTTTAAATTTTTTTCGACCCCTTAACATACTACATACAAGGTACATCCTGAAGTGATTCCAGCAAAAAATGGACTCCTTTGGAAAACGTCTAAATCAAAACAGATCTCGCCTGGACTAGATTTTTATCATAGGATAAATAAGAAGCGATAGAGAAAAGAACTTGTTGAAAAACAAAAATGTAAGCACAAACAAAATAAAATCTTAAAACTCAATAGATATAACTCGGGACAATATTTTTTGTCAGTAAGTTTCTGATAATATGTATTCCTTTACGTATTTAAGCTCCAACGAGCCCCCTTCCGCAACCTTCTTTATTAATTGCCGTTTTATAACTAGTATTTCATTGATCTAAATTAAAATAAATAAAACAAGAGGTTTGAATGTCTCGTTATCGGAATAAATATTTTCCATCTTAGATTCGCTAATACGCCTCTGCAAATAGCAATGCAAACGAAAAGATTCCAATTTCGTTGTGTCAATAACACTAAGCGGTGCTTTGTCGGCTACGGAAGTAAAAAAAGAATCAGAATTGGACCTCTGCCCACACATGTCGCACATGATTGTGCAACGAAGGAATTAATAGGGCTAAAATTATCTGCAGATAGTGTCTAGGTGTCAGTGCGGACAGCTGCAGATCTCCAGAACCAATAATCGAATTCCTTTAAAAGTGTTTCTCGACTATTTCGAATATTTTTTTGACATTTCAAAGGTTAGTTGTGTACCTACGTGTGGTTGTGATTGTCGAATTTTAGAGTTAAGTTGAGAAATATTTGACCTTTGTAACAATTTTACGCTTTTCTTTTAAAATATTTAACTTAATTTAAGAGACTGTAACCCTACAAACCAGAAAGTTGATCATATACTAAGAGAACATGAAAAAAAAAACAAGACTACTCAGGTACCTAGTCAGACTAAAATCAAGGTAAACAAATAAGAAACCTACGCAGCTGAGCAAGAATGATTACAATGACGAATGACCATTCCATACACTATAGACTACACTAGAAAGCATACACAAGAAAACTTAAGAAAATATTACAGTTAACGCAACGGTTTGAACACGAATATTAGTTAGAGAGAAGAAAAACCACACGGTAAAGTGATAGAAAAGACATTAAAATATACGTCGTTTTACAAATTGATTGACAAAATAAAATAGTTTACGCACAACATTGAGAAAAAATAATAAAACTACACATACTACACAACTACACATTAAAACATTTAATACCGTACATATTACATAACTTATCACAATTACACTGATGTTTCGTTTTCGTTTATAAAAGTAAAGAAAATGAACGGGACTTCTGGCTAGAGATAGAATCTTTAAATAAAGTAAATAATATAGAAGCAATTTGAGGTCAATTTTGATGCGAGAATGCGAAAGAAATAATAAGGACAGTAGGATGAACTGGGCAAAGGAATGACTAAACAACTGTTGTATATAGAAATAAACACGTACACGAATAGAATTATTCATAAAAGCATAACGACGAAATAGTTAGAGATGAAAATAAAAAAATCAGAATAGTGAGATGCCGAAATACAACTATAAAGATATATAGGATAAAATATAGTCTAATCAACATGTTGAAACAATAGCAGTAGAACTTCAAAGCATAAAAACAACAGTTATCTGACGAATATGTCATCAGTTAGCTGTTTATTAGTACCTACAACAAGAAAAAAATAAAAGAATCTAGGTTTAAATGAAACAACAATTTCGTAAAAATGCAACAGAATATCGACAAGTTTAATAATCAAATATGTATAGGTTGTATAGATATAAACGGAATATTCTATGTAAAAAAACAGGAAGAAAATTTATAATGTAAGGACTTAGTATTAATGTACGCTAAAGACAACATATTCTTTTCTGACCATCATTTCTGACCATAGTCACTTTTTTAGATCATAAAATCTTCTTCTATTGCATTTTCTTCAGCGATATTTACTGCTATTTATATTTTTGTTAAAGTTTTGTAAACTAGCCTTTTAATAAAGAACTCTTTGTCTATAATAACGAAACTAGAGAGTTTGTGAATAAAAATGTTCTACTGGAGAAATAAACCTCATTATTAAAAAAAGTTCCATGTAAGTAGTTTAATGTTCCAGAGAGATATCAATGCGTTTAATCTGAATCCGCCTTAATCCACACCTGTAAAAAATTTAACAGGGGTCTATAAAAAAATCTTGGACAAATCAGTGCCAAGCCATGAAGCTAATAAACGATTTTTGGATGTTAATAGAGATTTCATTAGACATCATTACTATGTATTAATATTAACAATGAAAATTTTGGTTATATTTTAAAAGTTATATAAATTTACTCAATACATTCCAGTGCTGAAAAAAATTTACTACAATCTACTACGCCTGTTTATCTGGCTAATAAAAGGTTTATTTCTAGCAGTTTGAGCATATAGATTATTCTTCTAATATCCGTCCAATGGTTTGGGAGTTACATGGTTTTCCAAACTGTCTTTTCACCCCATGTCACAATTTTCGTACACTTTTTTTTAAGTATTATTTGCTCTTTATCTGACAATCCATCTTTCTTCACGTTCAGTACAAATCTTATTTGGAACTAACCTGGATTTATTGTCAACTCTTCGTTAATTTCGTTCAACAATGTGCTAAACTGTTATTTACCATTTTGGATATGTTCCTTTGACTATATCCATTTCTATGGTGAGTAATAATTAAATTTCTTGCACTAATCGTAGTTCGGCGACCCATTCTTAAATCATTTTGTTATTTGCCGATTAAATACTTCTGAATGTCAAATTAAACATAAAATGAACTGCAATATGAATTTATTGCAACTCCTACTTCGCAAGCTTAAAATTGATAACTGGTGTAATGCCTCATCATATCTGTATCATTTTAACTGTGACATCAAAATCATAATCTATACAATAATTAAATATTTATTTATATTTATGCCTAGTATTTTTGAAACCCAAAAATAGCTCATGCTATTTTAGAAGACTTATAGTAGGTAATTTAATTTTAGTATGTAATTTTTTTCTAATAAATATTGAGCTACTCAACAAGCTAATTTCATTGAGTAGCCATTGCATCATCTAAGCTGTGAGCCACTGTATATAACCAGTTGTGTAACCATTTTACAACCTTAATTTTCCTAAAGATATTTATTAAAATATAGACCTAACCAAACTTTAAATTGACATTGTGAAATCATAATTCAGCATTGTGACTAGGCTATTACCGACCCATATATTTAAGCTTATATTTTCGATGGTTCTACAAATTAAAACTTTTGTACCATTAAAAAACTTTAAATTTGATTATAATTTTGTCAATAAATGGGTACCACTACAATTCCGAATGAACAGCAACTGGAGTATATTTTTGTACTACTAATTGCATATTCCACAAATTTTTTTTGCTCTCTTATTTTTCATTACATTGTAACATTGAGTCGATGTTTTCATATTTAATCCAAAACAAATGTAAATTAATGGAATTTTATTATATACATATTTATTGGACAATTTGTATCAAAATTCATAATTGTGCTTGTTTCAGGTCGTGGAGGTTTCAACGGTCAGGAACTAGGCAGCAACGATGGCAAACCTAAAGACCCTCTTAAACTTGTTATGAACCCGCATGGGCAGGTTCATGACATAAATTCTCTAAGAAAACAAGGCTACAACGTCGAACCAGCACTACTTTCTCCGGAAATCGCACAAGAGATTGTTAAAGGGCTTAATTCTCCAAAAGGAAAAGGTAAAACTTACTTACAGAATAATATTCCCACATGGCCATTCGGTTTTAAGTGAATTCGGTGTTAAAATGATATATTTTTTGAGAAACGTGTAATTCGGTTCGCTATTCTGCTTACATAGTGTTCGATGAGTTTGAACGAGCTTGATCTTTTGTCTGGGTAACAAAATCCATCTCTGAGGAAAACTCAAGGTTATGATAGATGAGGAAGTTATAACAGTCAAAATTACCTTTTAACTTTTGAAGTAAATTGTATACACATTGCTAGTTGACGTTTGTCTTCGAATTCTTGTACTATTACTTTCTAGTCTGCAAATAGTAGAACGCTTGGGTGAGTCAATCGAGTTATATACGCGATATTTTACTGATTTCCAGTTTTTGAGAAAGTTGTTAACATATATGTTAAAAAAAGTCCGATTTATGTCCAATAATACAAACTTTTTATTGCGTTTGTAAGATGTGAAGAGTGTCCGTTATCATTAATTACTTCTCAAATCTTATTTCGGTCGACCCTGTTAAAATATTTTCCCAAATCAATGAAAGTTGATAGGTTGATATGTATTTTCAGGTTAAATTCAATGCGCCTTCGTTTCTCAATAAGTTGGTTATTATTATTGCAGGAGCGCCCTTGTCGAAAACCATTTTGTTCTTCTTGTACAAGTACTGTGGTTACAATCTTTACTCTGTGCATTTGGAACTTTGCATATATTTTATATGCACTATTTAGTAAACTAATCTTCAATTACTATAAAGGTCTAAATATGAAATATTTCAGTCAGATTGACAGATTGAAACACGAACAGAGGTATACTAATAAATAAAGGTATAGATAAGATCATAACAAAGCAGACCTTAAAATGAACCTGGTCAACTGGGGAACAAACAAAGAAAACAGAATAGAATGGACCTCAAATATAAATCTCGAGAAGTCGCACAACCAAGGATGAAAAAAAAGCGAATGAATGACAGATACACCAAATAGATTTTAATGACCTCAATCAGTAATAATCAGATGTAATATTCATACAAGAGCTTGTATTCCAAAATCAAATAAAAGATTTAATGGGCGTTAGCTGGGGTCTGCGGAGGGCTTATGTAATAGTTAATGGAAGATATACAAAAAGTCAACTGATTCAAGTACGAGCAGTGCAAAACAGACGCGCAATAGGAAAACCTATCGAGCCCCCTTCTATTTAATACCATAATGAAGAAAAAAATAAAAGAAATACTGAAGTAAGGTTATATACAATGGAAAAAACGAAATAAACATTTTATCTTATAACAACTTTTCATCATCAGTTGATCGATCCTTTCCTGTCGAGTGTCTGTCTTCTCCATCCCCTTACTCCAATTTCCTTTAAATCGTCCTGCACATAGTCCAGATTTGTCCTGAGTTTAGGTCGCCCCCTTCTTCTTTCACAGGCTCATTTAGCATGGCTATTTAAAGGGATTACTTTCATACGTATGCATAACGTGGCCGACCCATTTTGGGCGGTTTATTTTGATGGTTTTCACGATATCTGCATCACTAAAAAGTCTATAGAGTTAGAAATTATATCGCCTTCTCCACAGACCATGTTCGTTAGTTCCACCATATAATATGGTCCTCAATACTATTAAAACGACGAAATTGTGTATAGAAAAAAATTGTGTGGTCAACGGACGAAAGCAGACATGTCCAAATTTTAGTAAGTTATGTGGAACAATTTTGACAGTTTCTGCATCTTTTCTTTTTTTATCATACACTTCATTGGTGGGACATGTGGTGTGAAGAAAGTTTTTCTAGGGAGTCATCTGTACAAATAATTAATTGCATAATAAATATGTCACAGGTAAAGCATATTAACCACAAAGACAACCAAAAAGAAAACCCAAGGAAAATCCTGAAGAGGTGCAAGCCTCTTACTTACTTTCTTACTGTCTTGAGAAAAATTACTTACTTTCTTACTGCCTTGAGATTGGGTTTGACTTTGATTCACGTGGGTATTTAAGATTTAAAATAACATACTGTGCATTACTAGTATCGACAGCTATCTAGAACTATTCAGGATGTTGTAAACGAGACAACATTGTTGAGGTTTCTTACATTAAGGATTTGTTCCCTGAAAGTTAGAAAGTGGATGCCTGACATTAAATACATACAATACGCCCCACAAACATTGTCCAAATCTGTACAGATAGATTTGAACAATGTTTGTAGGACGTATTGTATGTATTTAATGTCAGGCTTCCACTTTCCAACTTTCAGGGAACAAATCCTTAATGTAAGAAACCTCATAGACAAAGCCAGAGACTATCCGATCCCGATAGTTATATGTTTTGTGGACTATGCAAAGGAATAATGTTAGATGGGAGAAACTATGGAACATACTGACGACAATTGGTGTACCTAAACACTTGATTCACTTTATTAGCAAATTGTGTCAAGACAAGCTAGCATATATTCGGATGGATGAATGGATATCTGACGAATTCACTTGGCAGAAGGGCGTACGTCAAGGATACACTTTATCTCCCTTATTATATAACATATATCCAGAGTTAATAATGCGCAGTTTTGGATGGTTGGAAGGTAGGAGTAAACTTGTCAAGGGAAGGGAGGCGGTGTTAAGATACCTAACTTGCGTTTCGCAGACAACACTGGACTTCTAGCCTCCACTTCAGAAGAAATTACTAACTTGTTAAAAAAACTTGAGATGTGCTAATTTTGGACTCATGGTTAACTACAACAAATCATGATTATTTATTGCCAACAATACTTTCCTCAAACTCACACTACAACAGTTAACAACACAGGCAGTTGTAAACCCGAAATTCGAACATGAATACAACTAGTAAGAGCAGCAATGACCGAACTAAACTGAGTATGGCGTGATAGTCACATTGTTTCGACAAACAAGAAGAGCCTCGGTTTAACTCTGGTCTTTTCTATATTTTACTATGCATGCGAAACATAGACAGTCAAAGAATCGTATAGACGACGCTTTTGAAATGTGGACATGGAGATGACTGCTTCGAATTCCATGGACGGCTCACCCACGAATGTCTCGGTTCTAGATGAAGTTAAATCCAATTAGCATCTCTCTAGTACTGTTCACTCCAAAATTTTAAATTTCTTTGGTCATATCCTTGGCCATAACGCCAACGCAGCAGATCCCCAGCGATGAGCCGACATTACGAAAAAGCTTCTCAATAAACAGTATACTAAAGCAGTACATGTAACAGATGACCGCGAATAGTGAAGAAATATCATTAAACTATCCAAGCTGCTATAGTTCAATGATGAGCAACAAAACCTCTGCCAAGATGTTAATGACCATGATGACGATGTTCAACATATGACGGACCAGTTAAAATAAAAACAAAAACTTTAATAGTCTATAAAAAGATCCTTACTTCTTTTACTATATAGATAGTGCAACTACTATGCAGTTGTTTAGTAATGACATGTCACTGCATTATTTCTATTACACAATCATTTTGCTTACTCCAAAAAATGATTCAAATACTATTTTCCGCAAATCGCCAGGAAATTTTGACATTCCTGTCAAAATTTCTTGAAGAAAAAGTCAGGACTTCCTTACTGTAAGGAAATGTCATTTCCTTACTGTAAGGAAATAATATTTCCGTACAGTTGTTAGTGTTCTACATAAATGATAGAAAACACATTGCTTATAAGGAATTAATTTATATTTTGAAAACATCAAGTCATTGCTGAATACATTTTTAAGATCAATTTGTTATATTTACAGTAATTTGACAGTTAGTACAATTATTGAACATTGGAGGAACACTCTTAGAACTATGAGAAACATTTTGGACAACATGCAGGGTGGAAGTGTCATTTTGTTGAATATTTTGTACTGTGAAAATTTTATTTGCCACCTCAACCTTATTGTTAAGCGATTCTTCGATATATCCTTCAGCAACGTTTGATGACTTCCATCCGCCATGCCTCTTTAAACTAGTTATGTCGGCACCAGAGTTAACCAATATTGTTGCAGAAGACCGACGAAAGCAGTGACCAGTATATTCTGTCGGATTTACCAAGTTCAAATAAGTAGCAATTATTTTGGGCATTTTTCTAAATTGATGAATTCCTACCACTATGTCTACAACCCTTTCCGCTTTGATATTTAAAGAAAAATCGGTCACTGTTCATATTTTCTGGTCTTAACGAAACATACTTTCGATAAACATTCAAGTAGATCTGATTAATTACAAATGATCTTGGTTTGTTGGTTTTCGAATCAGGTATGCTGATTAAAAGCTTAGATTCTAAGTCTTCTATATCGTGTACAGTCATTCGGACTAACTCATCCATTCTACAGGCCCCAGAAATACCAAATATTACAGCCACCTAAAATAAATAAAGCTATAATCTAAATACAAACTAAAACCTTGTAAATTACCTTAATCATTAAATTTTCTTTATCTGGAGCTTCCTGGATAAATTTTTCAATTTCTTCCTTCGTTAAAATCTTAGATTTCTTTGCCCTATAGGACCTTGAGATTGCCGTTTCAATAAAGAACGAAGTTTTGAGTATGTAGATATATCTACATTGTGTTTAAGTGCAAGGGTTGACTTCAGCATTGAATAATTGGCCCATGATGTTGAAGATTTCATCTTTAAACAAAGGTCTAGGAAGTATGCCATTACAACATTTTCTGAGAAAGAACTCGTATTTTTACTCATGCGATAATCCATAAAACGTCTGTATGCATTTTCGTACTTTTCTCTTGATTTCTTTGGCAATAATTCTAATGAAGCAGTATTCACTGCCTCAACCAGCTCTGGAGGAGTCCCAGGAATGGAAATTTCATCATCACTTATCATTTTACTTTCGAGAACACCAGCAATTAAATTTATAAGCGTCAAGTTTGACAATTCAACCTCAATACGTTTCCATAGTAACCCAAGTAATTTTATTAGGAATTTCAAAGCCCCATTTATTTGGGAATAAAATTATCGCGTTTTTTTAAATCAATCAATATCTGTCGAATTTTAAACGATTTGCGGAAAAATAGTATGTTTATCTCGTAGGAAAAGCCACATTCCTGGACTCTGTGTTGCTAAGTCTCGGCTTGCGCCTCGACTTAGCAATCTTCACAGTCGTCCAGGAATGTTAAGCTTTTCCTACCCGGTAAACAATGTACTATCATTTCACAATAAAAAGTATAGCTACATGTCTTAAAATAAATAATATCACTTACCTTCTTTTAAAAGCGTTTTTATTGAGAGTTCTAAACAACGTTTACTCTTACCTGGTTTAATTTTTTATTAGAGTTAGATACTTTCAAACTTAGAACAGCTAGTGATTTTATGTACTTACGTATTAAGTTTTGAATGAAGATTTTGACGGGATGTGTAAACTACACATGTCACACGATATATCAATAACGAAAACATTAGAAAGAAATAAGAGATGTGAACAAAACATTAAATGTAGTTACCCTTTCCATAATATTCTTTTCTAATGACTCCGTCAGTCTTGGCCGCTAGAGAACATATTACTAATCACTGTACAAAGTCAAACGTTTTGGTTAGGTACAAGCCGATCTAAACCAGATAAATGAATTTGATTGGTTGAGTTCATCTTAGTTGGTAATTCATACAGAATTACCAACGAAGAAGTACTACATAGAATGGGTAAAGAGCGCGAACTAGTCGTAATCATAAAACGTCGCAAACTAGAATACCTGGGCCATATAATGCGCAATGAACAACGATATGACCTACTTCGGAACATACTTTAGTGGTTAGTGTCCAACATCCGTAACGGATAGGCACCATAAGAACAATTCATCTCTAAACTGAATAAATTTATGAGTAATGAAAAAGGGCACTGGATTCATAGTTAACAAGAGAGTAAGACATATAATAAAAGACTTCAGAGCCATCAGTCCCAGAATGTGTATTTTAAGAATTAAAGGACGTTTCTTCAACTACAGCCTAATTAATGCGCATGCCCCCACAGAAGAAAAAGAAGAGGAAGTCAAAGAAGAGTTTTATGATGAATTAGAGTCCGCATACCAGTCATGCCCAAAAAGTGATATAAAATAATTTATGGAGACTTAAACGCAAAAGTTGGAAGAGAGCAGCAATTCCAACCCACAATAGGTAAGCACAGTCTCCATGAGCAATCAAATGACAATGGCAATAGGTTGGTAAACCTAGCAAGATCACTTAACATGGTGATTTCCAGCACATACTTCGCTCGAAAAGATATACACAAAGGCACCTGGAAATCACCAGACGGACTCACAGTGAATATGATAGATCATGTTATTGTAGACTCAAGACACCAATCGAATATAATAAACGTCCGTACCAGAAGAGGGGCAAATGCGGATTCTGATTACTACCTGGTCGAAAGTAGGATAAGGGCTAGAATTTCAAACATCAAAAAGGAAAGAGGCTCTAAACATAAACGATACAATATAGAAGGACTCAAAGAAACAAACAAAAATAGAGAGTACAAAGAAAATATAAGCATCAAACTAGAAAACAGACTAAAACATGAAAACCTAAATGAGGAGTGGGAAGAGTGCAGAGAAATCATAAAAGAAACAGCTAAAGAGGTGTTGGGCATGGAAGGTAAAGAAAGAAGAACAAGAACGAATCACTGGTTTGACGAAGAATGTCAAACTATAACAGAAAGAAAAAACAGAGCATATCTACAGATGCAACAGAGGCACAGAACCCGACAAGCAGAGGAACAATATAAACAACTACGTAAGAAGCAAAGAAAATTCACCGAAGAAAGAAGAGAGAATATATAAACAAAGAACTTCAAGAACTAGAAAAACTAAGTAAACCAACAGGGACATGAAAATTTTACCAGAAACTCAACAAAAGCAGAAAAGAGTTCAAACCGAGAACAACGATGTGTAAAGATAAGGAGGGTAATATATTGACAGAACAGCAAGAGATACTAAGAAGATGGACAGAACATTTTAAGGAAAAGCTTGGGATGATTAGGACGGAGATCAACCCTGATATACCGTTAGACCAAGCAGACAACAGAGAAAAGAGTCCACCAACAATAGCAGAGATTAGAACAGCAGTGGACAAATTAAAGAACAATAAATCACCGGGATCGGATCAAATATCATCGGAGCTACTGAAAGAAGGAGGAGACGCATTACTTAAAGCCATACATGAGCTGATAAGAAAGATATGTTTGAATAAACAGCTACCAAAGGAGTGGAATAGCGGCTTTATTGTACCACTACATAAAAAAGGAAACCAGTTAGAATGTGAAAACTACCGTGGAATCACGCTGTTGAATGCGGCATACAAAATAATGTCCAACGTAATGTATGAAAGACTTGACCATACGCTGAAAAAATAGTTGGCAAATACCAATGTGGCTTCTGTAGACAGAAGTCAACAATAGACCAGATATTTGTTCTGCGACAGATCCTTGAAAAAACATGTGAATATAACATCGACACACTTCATCTCTTCATATACTTCGAAAGCGCATATGACAACATAAACCGAGAATTCGTAACAAAAGCAATGAAAGAATTTAATATACCAACACAGCTAATATAATTGATAAAAGAAACACTAAAAGTAGAAAGTAAAATCCGGATACAAAACGAATTAACGGAAACAATAGATGTGAAGAAGGGACTATGCCATGGAGACGCTCTATCATGCATATTATTCAACATCATACTTGAAAAATAATAAGAGACACAACAGTTAATACTCGAGGAACAATAATTAATAAAAGCGTGCAAGTACTAGCATTTGCAGATGATGTTGACATAATCGCAAGATCAAGAAGAGAAATGATAGAGGCATTCACTCAAATAGAACGAGCTGCAAAAAATAGTGGTCTTAAAATCAATCAGACAAAAACAAAATATATGCCTGCAAATAAAAACGCACAAATAAGGCAGCTGCCAAATTTAACAATAGGAGAATACAACATTGAGGCGGTAAAAAACTTTACATACTTAGGATCCCTAGTTACGTCTGATAACAACGTTGCAGAGGAAGTGAAGAGGAGAATATTTATTGCCAATAAATGTTACCATGGCTTAATTAGGCAACTAAGATCAGATAACGTCTCCAGAAAAACAAAATGCCAAATATACAAAACCTAAATAAGACCGGTACTCACATACGGTTCAGAAACCTGGAAACTCTCTAAAAGGGAAGAAACGTTATTAGCCACCTTTGAAAGAAAAACCTTGCGACACATATATAAGGCACAAAAGAAAACGGGATTTGGCAAAGAAGGTATAACTTTGAACTATACAACATATACCAGGATCCGGATATCATAACATTCATTAAAATAGGAAGGCTACGTTGGATTGGACATGTGGAAAGAATGGAAGAAGGTGAAATACCAAACAAAATATTCAAACAAGTGCCAGTAGGAAAAGGAACAAGAGAAAGACCGAATCTGAGATACGTAGAACAAATAGAAAATGATATAACAACATTAAAAATTAAAAACTGAAAAAAAAAAGCACGAAACAGGTCAGAATGGAGAAGAATCCTTGAACAGGCCAAGACCCAAAAAGGGTTGTCGAGCCAGTGATGATGAATAATGAAAAAGATCACTATTTGATATGGAACTAGACGTATAACATTGGACTTGCCTGTTTTATTTCAGTGACATAATTTTTTTAAGTGTTATATAAATAAAAAAAAATTCTTAAAAATTGACTTGTCTGGTTTGTCCACCGACTACACAACTATCAAGAAAGAAGTGAAATTTTAATATTAAGCACTTTTCCAAGTTTATAGTATTTAGATACCTGTGTTTAGTTTACTTTATTTAAATTATGTTTTTTAAATGGTCACCTCTGAGAAGCGTATGTGATTTCTTATTACATAAAAGTGTATATACGCAGGATAAAAGCTTATTAAAAATGTTATTTCTTTTTCATGATAAGGAGCAGAGTTGTTCGCAAAAAGACGCAAACGTTCAGAAAAGTGGGTAGTTGGAGAAACAAACGGCACTAGACAGACACCGATTCCTGAAATAGTTCCAGCTCCAGTTCCATTGGTGTCACCACTAGCTCCACTAACTCCATCAGCAAATATCCCTCCACCTAGCTATCTGCCAGAGTCTGTCGAGAGACTTCAACACAAACAAAAATTGGACGGTATTCAAGTAAGTATAATAAGATTTTAATAACTAATACAACCAACTTCGTTTTATGTATTAAAATTTTTCTGTTTTTATAGGAAAAGTTCAACCGTCCTAGAGTAAAGTTAATAAAGTCCCCCTGGGACGCTGCTTTAGAGACCGGATCAGTCGACGCAGCTTTTGTTGAAGAACCAGCTTGGCCAACGAAAGGCACCTACGTAGCTCCTGCTGTAAATTCGTACGAAGCAGCACTAAAAAACGACTCACTGGCCACTTGGAGCGTACCGAAGTCCAACGACCAGAAGATGTACGCTCATAATCCAAGCTATAACAGCAACAGTATCAATAAAATAATCGATGGTTACCAGAAAGGTGCCAGCAATGTTGATGTGTATAAACCAACATTGCCTCAAGGGTGGGCTACCCATAAACAATTTGGTAAGTAGTTATATACAACAGAAGATATAAATTTACTATAAACTTTACAATTAAAAACACTGCAATACTTGAAAGGATCTCATTTCTAGAAATTTTATGTAATATGATTTTTGGAATGATCACTGTTATCATTTTTTACCTTCTATATAATGTAAGTTTTGTATTTTTGATCCAATCTTATCATAGGTTCCATAAACCTACCTACTGTACTATACATGTACAAAATATGCCCATTTGACCAGATATGCCTCAATAAAATTTTACTTCGGAAAAAGATACAGTTCAGTAAAGTTAAATTTCTATTTTTTCTTTGTTTTCGTCCGAATTTTTAGTGATTTTGTTGAGAAAATATGTCAACAGTAAGGTAAAGTGCCCAAATACCGTCCCTCTTAGCAAAATCTTAAATTCTGAAATTTGATTTAGAGTTAAAATAGTGGAAAAAACTTATTTAAATAACTTAACTCTATATCTAAGAGTTTTGCTAGTACGATTCTACTGAATAAAACTTCCTGAAGTAAAAATAAATAAATAACAAAATAAAGCTTCGGTTCTTTAAAAATGGTATCCCAATTCCGTCCCCCACCCATTCCTAGTTAAAATGTATAATTTTTTTTTGTAAAACATAATTTTAACACTACTAATATCTTTTATCGGTTACTAATCATCGGTTGATACCAGTGGAACTTCTGTTTCGTCCTCAGAGTCACTTGAATTTAAATCCCACTTCGTTGTTTTCTTCTTGGGACGTTTGTTCAATGATGTATCAGGATTTTGTTTATCTTCCATGATGATACGTTTCTTAGCCTTTGACTGCCTCTTCTCTTGCCTTCTCTTTTGATGGGTTCACAATGGAACTGAAGTGTTTAAACCACTTAAGAAACAATGGACCAGTTACCCAACTTGAATCTGAACACTCGTCTGTCCACCCGAAGGAGCTCTGTCAAGCAATTCTTCCTGCCACCTTTTAAGTGGAAATATTAACAAGGGTGGAATATACTGGCCTGCTGTTGACATACAGGTTATGACTGTGGTAGTGGATCCACGTTCAGCAGATGAAAGTTTATGCTCTTGCTTTTTCCCCTTACAGGTTACTACTCTAGTAACCTGTACCCTGTAACTGTTTCGTCTACATTAAACATTTTTGAGGGGTCAAAGTTTATTTTCTCGAGTTCAGCCTTCAGGATAGAGAAATACTTTCAGAATTTTCTTTTGTGAATCCTTTATCTCTAGCCATTGAGTTCTGTGGTCGTCTGAGGAAAAGCTCTGGATGGCGTTTGAAAAACAGTCTAACCCACTTTTTGCCAGCAGCCTTTGATTAATTCGAGAAAGAATGAGGTACTTGGTTTACTATGGCTAGCTGGTAAGCCAATCGCCTCAGGTCAGAAATAGTCAGTTCATAATAATGCTGCTCCATATCCAGACAGTGTTCGACAAGACTTTTCTCGGGGTCAGCTGTAAAAACTGGCTTTCTTCCAAATTTTGATTTCACACATTCCTCTGGAGTGCGGTCAGATTTGACATAATCTTTTAAAGTAGTTTTTGGAACACCAAAGGTCTTAGCAGCTATTTTATATCCCATTTCTTTATCTCCCACAGCAGTGATAGCTCTCACCATGGCATCAGGATTCCACGCTTTGCGTTGAGGAAACTGAAAAAATTTAGACCTTGTATTGATTTATCAATTTACGCAATTCTTAAAATGTTCATCTTTCTCACAGAATTCTAAGTTTAATAACAACATTACTGTTCAAAACTAAGGTGTCTACATGTTAAAACTATTAAAACATATCCAAAAGTGATTATATGTCCATAAAAAATAATTTAAGTAGTCAGGGAAAATTAAAATTTATCGAAAGCAAAATATATGAAAATATTCCTAAATCCGTCCCGGGACGGATTTGAGAACCTCAAACCGGACGGATTTAGGAATTCCGTTATATAAAACATGGCCATTGTTCGTGACGAAACGACTACAACTACACGGCGGTGACAAATGAAATATTATACTCAAAGAGCATTATATTAATATCAATCGATAAATCAGTTTAAACTTACCTTTGGGCGTCAACATAAGTATTTAAAGTAGATTACAAACTGCAGCAAGCTATTACATAAACTATTTATGAAAAATTCAAGATTAAGTAAACAGAACAAAGAATCCTACGTCACTGCCACTAGCACACTGGATCGTTTTGAAGAATTTCCTTACTCTCTCGCAAAGTTGCAGTACTGTCCGTAGAAGTTACAGTGAGGGACGAAATTAGGATAGGGGACGGATTTTGGGCACTTTAACTTATGTTTACGTAAAATTAGTACTCTTTTTTAAACACGACAATTTGAACTTTTTTTAGAAAAAAACGTATTTAAATAGTTGAGAGTCTAAAAGGGGGACTTCAAATATTGTTAGTAAATGTCATTTCTTGTAAGAAATATAAAGACCCTAAAGAAGTTTAAAGAACTGTACGAGGCTAATCACTTTTCTGAAGAGACCATCGAAGTGAGCAAGATCCTATTGCAAATTGTCGCAGCAAATAAAAGAGAAAAGTAGTCTTACCTGCTAGAGAACCTGCACATAAAATAGAACAGCAGAAGAACGTGGAAACTTATCAATAACGTAAACCAAGATAAGCTTCATGCAACAACTAAAACTGCTATTAAATGGAAAAAACCACCAAAGGGTTCAGAAAATCAAAATCCTAAGAGATGAAAACAACGAAAATCACAAACAACAATATTCGTTCACCCTCGACACATTGCGTGAAGCAGTCTTGACCATAAAAAATAACAGAGCTGGTGGTCCTAACGACATAAGGACTAAATAAATCAAACAGTTTAGCTCAGTCATAAACCAATGGCTACTGGACTTGAAACAATTGTATGCACTCTACGAAAATCCTAAAACTGTAGGTGAAATCCATGCCACTTTTTCAAAATCATGGAGCGTATGGTATTAAATCGCATACAGGCAATTATCGACGAAACTCTGATTTGAGAACAAGCTGGTTTCGTAAATACACGACACCATAAACCATAAAAAACTGGTCTTGCAAAGTGTACAAATGTCAAACGACATCAAATTAACCAGCTTCACACGATGTATACTGCAGAACCGTGAGTTTTATGTAACACTACAAAGTCCAAGCAGCCAACGGAGAACCCAGAAGAACGGAAAGACCCAAGGTAGTGTGCTGAGTCGCCCGCTATTTAATATCTACATAAACGAACCGCCAATACATCATGAAACAAAACAATTCATTTTATGACGGTTTCCTTAACATCATTGGCTGCTAACTATACTATCAGGAAGTAAAACGGAATTCAATTGTTTGGCTGCGTTTAGCCCCAAAACATAATTTACGATGTTTTTGGCAGCTGGTAAAATAAGTCTATCACCAATTGTATGAGACTTTCCACACTTGTCTATTCTTAAACTTTCCAAAAAAGAAGATTTAACAACATTTTAGTTGTTTGAAGAAAACGCCGCTCTTCTGTCCACGTTTAAGTTAAGCTTCTTTCATTTTCAAAAAATCTCGCAGTTTTTCTGAAAATTAAAATGGAGCTTCAGCAAACATGGTTTTATTGAATGATTTGAAAAGACCTCAAAAATGTTACAAATTGCAAACATGGCTCTTCGTTAACATTGACAAAAGAAAATCCATGTTTAAATAATTTGAATCATATTGTCCGGTAACTGTTTTTTATTTTTTACTATATAAGTTTAAATCAACGTGTTGTCTTGCTTGAAATACATGGTAAATCACTTGTTTCTTGGATAGAACATTCTTCTTTTTTAACTATTTATCCATAACTTTATAATTAAAATATCAACTTACGCAGGTAACGTAAACTCACTTGTGTATACTAATACTCACTTATCAAGTCAAATATCTACTAAACTTACTAAAGGCGATTGGTGACTACTCCGCGATTTTACAATCAGTGTGACCGGCATTTGGACTATGCTGTATTTTAGTTTTATCTACTGAACTTGTAACGTAAAATACTATTTTATTTTTTTTTTGTTATTTTATGCGGTGCTGATTTTGGCTGTGTTTTTGTGTTTTGCGTACTACCGCAAGTAATATGTACCACCAGTGGTACATGGTCCTCAGGTTGAGAACCGCTGCTCGAGTGTATTTTTGCTTTTTTTTAAAGCTACCGCTACTTATTCGATTACAATGCTACAATGCACTGCAAGTCAGTAATATATTATTAAAATTCTAATAAAAATATTTCTAACCTAATAATTTTATTCACGTTCAAAATCTGTTTCCAAGATATCTTGCACGACAATTACAATTCTACTAACGTGTGCTGAACGAACATATTGCTAATAGATATTTTATTATGGATATTATGTTATGTTCATCGATACAGCAACTCTTACCAGAAGGATTTTTAGTTGAAGAAACAAAAAAACCTGCAAAACCTTACAAGAAGAAAACCTGCATTTTGCCAAAGAAGTTATTTTTCGCATGACTTTGCAAAAAACTTTTTATGATATTGTGAAAGCTTTCTTACTGGATGTAAGACAACAAATGTGACTTGGAGCAAGATACTTCATCTTCTTTCACATTAACTGTTAAAAATAGTCGGAAGAAATTTTGAAGTGGACACCAAGACGTCCTGAGTATAATCTGTTTGATTTTTAAGTCCTTAGTTTATGCCAATAAAATTAATTCTCAAGACAATTTTATAAGAGACCGAATAATGTTTTTTAACATCTGTAATTCCTTTATCAAAAGAATTAGGAAATATATAAAAGGAGGCGACCACGTTAAATGTTTATTTTGAATTTTTTCTTGTAAATTAAATTGGTTATGTTACAAGTGTGCTTATTGTTATTTGAAATGCCCTTTTGGTAATTAAAAAAAAAAAGAATGGAATTATTGTTAAAAATAAGTCTCTTACAAGCATGATATTTACCAGCAATCGCTATCTGATAGCCCAAAGCATACTTTCCAATAACGAAATAATAGTGGAAGTCAGTGTTAATTTTACATAAAAATAATATTCACATACATCATACTTTGTAATAAAAATTATCCGTATATAAAAATAACGGAAATTATCAAAACAACAATAAAAAATAAGCTTATACTTTTGTGATAATTTTGGTAAAAAGATATGTGTATAAGTAAAAAGTTTATGGGCATGGGTTTATATGGGCATATTTTTGTCTAAACCTAACCCTAGTCTAAGTCCAGTAGTTATAACTCTTTCCGTATATTCATCAACTAGCCTCTAACGTCCACTGCTGAACATAGGCCTCTCGCACGCTTTTCCACTTAGTTCGATATTGCACCATCTGAATCCAATTTGTAGTCACTCTTTTTATGTCATCTGTCCATCTCGTTGGGGGTCGACCTATATTTGTGTTAGCTTGTATTCGGGGTCTCCATTCCAAAACTCTTTTTATCCACCGGTCATCAACTGATCTTGCTACATGACCTGGCCAGTTCAACTTTAGTGTTGTTATCCTTTCAATAACGCCTGATACTCCTGATCTTTTGCTTATATTACTGAACTATAATAAAAATAATTTAATAAAACAAAATTTTGGATTCTATTGTATAGTTATGATTCCTTTCAATTTGCTTAACTTTTATTAACACACTAGCACTAATACAATCAAAATCTACTGTTTATGCTAACCATCTCAACCATTCAAATTTCAGTACATTACTAATGCTTTGCTTTGCTTTATAATACATCTAGGTAGCCAAAAGTATTGTCAAATAACGACTAAGAAAGTGTCAGCTTCAAAGAATATCCGACAACATACATCTGCTCCTGTCGAGACAAACAATTCAGTAGTTTCTGAAGGTCAGGAAGTTAAACAACAAGACGCTGAAATTCAAGCAGATTCTTTTGTTTCTGAACAGACTGCAGGTACAAGTATTTCAGCGGAATGTCAAGAATCATCGTATTCAAACGTAACAGAAACTGCTCAAAGTGAGTGCAATTGGAGTTACAATAATGATATATCCCTACCTCCCACCACAATACAACCAGATGACGTGGAAGAAAGTAAAGATAGTAGCCGCATTGTTCCTTATAAAATACCAAATATATTCAGTTACTTAGACACCTCTAGAGATTCCACAGAATACAGACCAGTTAGCCCTCTTCCTTCATGTAAATCCCAATCACAGGAACCAACTAAAAAGATACCGGAATTCAGTTTCGCTTTAGCAGATCCTTCTACCAGAGTATTGGAAAGCAGTTTTTCTAGTGCAAGTGCAAATGCTAGATCTTTACAATCAGAAATATTTGAAAGCCAAGGGCACTTCAACGCCAGCAGATCTTGCTCACCGTTTCCTATTTACGTTCCAAAATACGAACCTCCGTCCGCACAATCGGTCGAGCCAATATCAGTAGTCGAAGAAAAACCTTCTAGTAAAATCATTGTTGAACCTGTGAGACAGAAGGATCCAAGACACGAAGAACAAGTAAAAAAAATGGCATTGTCTGCAAATAAAGGCAAAGAAGATACTTTAATGTTGCAAAAGGGTTGCTTTAATGAGTTTAGAGAAAAGAAAATTAGCAAGAACCAAAAAACTATAGATGAATTTTCTGGGCCTATTCAAATTCTTGATAACGATATAGCAGATATGGCTGATGAAAAATGTAAAGAGGCTAATAGCAAAGTGTCTGCTAGCAACAATCCAAATAACATAACCAGCAACAATGAAATTTGTAACATATCTTCAATTGAAGAAGATGCCAAAGTGACGACAATTAAAGAAACAAAAATTGAAGAAAGTATTGGCGATAAAAGTGCACTAGTAGGTAACAATAATAACCAAAGACAAGAAGAAACTGTCACTAAAAAACAAGAAGAAATCGTCAACATAAAGCAAGAAGAACCTGCCACTAAGAAAATAGAAGAAAAACCTAAGCCAAAAAAACCTTCGCCGCCAAGAACAGATGAACCAAAAAAGTTTAGAAAACCACCAGAAACAGTAGCTGGAGCTAAACCTTGTTTTGGACAAATAGATAACAACGAATTCCAGAAGGCAATATTAGGTAGACAACAGTCAATCAAAGCCAAACGATCCCGACAAAACCAGGCAAACGAATTTAATCCTACAAGATTAAATGGAATAGAGCCGCAAGTAAAAGTAGAAAGTAACATCATAAATCAGCAGGAAGTACAATTAACTGGTGTAGAACCAAGGGCCAAGTATGAGAGAACAGCTATCAGCAAAAGAGAAGAAATAGGTCATGATTCAAAGTTAGCTGCCGAAATAAAAAAGACAGAAACGGCAGAAGTTGAAATGATTTATCCTAATGAACATGAAGAAATAGAAAAAATTAACTATGCACAAGAAAGGGAAATTCATATTGATTTTCAAAAGGTTGGTGATGAAATAGTATTCCCCAATTTACCAATTGAACCACAAGCCTTCAGTACGTTCCAGGAATTTATACAGAACCAGTACCAAGAACAGTTACAGTCATCCAGTCAATATACCGATGCAGACTCAGATCAAGAGGAATATCGAAAAATTCCTGTTAAATCGTTAATAAAGAATTTCGAGCAGTCGGCAATGCCGACCTTGAAATACAAACAACTGAAGGATCCTTTACCGGATGTAGTAGAAAAATTTATTCCTTACAACATAAGTAACTCTAGATCAGTTGAGTCATTCAGTAGTAGCAATACGACGTTGCAAACTAGTCAAAGCGATATAAATTTGCAAAGATCGTACGATATGGTCGAGACTTCGAGGGAAATGGAGGCCACAGTGTACCACGTAGCTAACGTTGAGGTCAAGTCTCAGTATTTTCCTCCGGATCAGAGCAGGATTCAACATATTGAGCCTTCGGAAAATAGCTCGTTCTGCAAATATATTTCACCATCTTCTTCCATTGCACCTAAACCCAATTCAACGTTTCAGCCAATCGATCCAAATGAAGACTTCAGCAATGGTTACAATGAAGGCAAGATTAGTGGCTTTAGTTTTATTCTTTTGCTGATTTGTAAGATGTTATGTGACGTCATGGTATGATTTTAATATTTTTACCGCATGAAATAATTTGCAAATGTAATAAGTTTAGACTCTTCCATTAGAATTTGGTTAAAGGCACCCGAGAAACAGTAATTTAAAAAGACTTTTTACCTTGGGGAGGCTTGAACTGTTTTTATCCCTTGTTTTTTACTTATCAACTGTTGATTTCTAATTGCTAGATACATACATTTTAGAGGAGTACTAACCGATTTCTTGCTTTCCAGGATCGAACACTCTACCAAGAACTAAACCAAAATCTACCGCCTCACCAACTTACAAACCACCAGGCAGTCCCTCAGTCTTCATCCCTAAAGAAAGCCCCAGCTACTTTACTCCCTCTGAAGCTGAACCTAACTACAATTACGAGCCCTCTCTGCAAATATCACAAGCGCCCAAGCCAACCAAAAAACTGGACTTACACAGTCTTCAAAATTATAACGTAGCACCAAAGGGATGGACAGAAGCAAAGAACTTCTACAAACCACTGAGTTTTAACCAGCCCAAAGAGATGTACTCTGATTTTTAAAGTAGCAGTTAATATTTTGTGTTGTTTGTATTTGTTTTGTTTCTGTTTTTAGTAATTTAAGATGTGTTGTTGATATTTTTGAGGCACATTCATGCAATAAATTAGCACTAAGTGTATATTGTTCAGAATAAACGAGCTGGAAATACAGTAGATTACCAGTTCACACAATTAAACTTTTAATAAAAATTTGTAATGCAACATTGTAAGTGGTATCTACTACACATTAAAGGCAAACAATTATTTGTAGATTCGGTTAAAGTTTAAAAAATCCTTATTGTAATTGTTGTTCAGTTATTAATAAAAATAATTGGCTTAACATGCACAAATTCTAGGAAATATTCTTTCTGTGTAGACGATGTAGTGCTTCTAGTGATATTCACTAAAGAGTTGTTATGCTTTCTTGATTATTTGTTATCCACACATTGTGAATATTATAAGAATATATTTAAAAAATATATTAGTAATCTTATTTAAACCTTCTGTTTACATCCTCTATGATATTGTCCACATTAACAAAGCTGATCAAGCTGCTCACAGAATATACATTAAATGTCTAAAAAAGAAAATTGGAACGAAGAAAAACCCAATCACGTTTCAAGTTGTTTAGATTAACGAGTCACATATTCAACATATTTCTTAAAACCACCCATACCACAATTTATAAAAAATGCAAGGCTGAGACATCTGGTGAGTAGTTTGGATTATGTTATGGATTGGGTACCAACAAAGCAATATTATCGTTGAGTCATCGAACCAAAGAATATAGACGCTATATTCTTTGATTCTTTGATCGAACGCTCAATATGTGTTATTGAGGGTTCCCTAATCTGTGCGACGCGTTTCTCGAGATTTTTTCTTCTGGGATGTAGGGAGTATCATAATAAATATTAATATTAGAATTGCATGGTTAGTTGAGTTTGTACCACCAAACAATATTTTCATGTAATTGAAATTTATTTTTAATTATTTTCTAACCCAACGAACTTCGCAGAAAGTAACTGCGATATTTCTCTCAACCCTGCGGGTCGTCCACTAAGAGGCTGTGGTGTTCGGTAATTCTTCGAATCTCGATGATGGGCGGGCCCGGATTATTTCTACAGAAACGAAAATGATTGGTAGTACAAAAAGTAGAGGTTGATGAAGATGAAGCCTGTACCGGGAAAAAGAAGAAACAATTTGTTTTTTGTAAAAAGTTCGTCACTATTAAATAAGACGACGATTGACATCTGCATTACTTTTCTCGGTACACAAGTTTAAAAATGATAGCTTCGGCGTTATGATTTTGTTAGACTTAAAGAAATTCAAACAAAAAATGTACAGGTGAATTGGTCACTGAGTGGACGAAATGTTTGTATTGAAGCTAGTGCAGAACGAATCGTTCGGTTCATATACGAAATGAATTCCCTCGGTAAACACGTTTGTCGAGGAATTTGGACGTTTAAAAACTCTCGTAACTAAGAAAGTTGACACGGAAGATTTTCGGAGTTCGTTTGTTCACTTGTGTCATTTCTGCAGTACATCTCGAACTCGTTGTCAACAAATGCGTTTATTCAAGCTTTTCGTCGTTTTGCTGCAAGGCGAGGTTAAAATGTGTAGGTAGTATGAGATACTACAAAAAGACTCTCAACTAGGGATTCATCAATTTGTTAGTACCTCATTACGAAAACTAAACTCCATTCAAATAATGTCACTAAGAATTGCTCTGTGCGCATTTAGAACTAGCCCAACCAATAGCCTTCAAGTATTAGCTAACAAATTACCTTTACACTTACGAAGTGTAATCATCACACTGAGTACATACAAACTGTGTTTGTTGGTGAGACCGGAAGGAATCTTTCAAACCGTATTATTTCCCACAAAAGTGACTGTAGAATTAAAAAACCATCTTGTGCTTTAGCAGAGCATGTAATCGACACATAGCATATTCTGGATTTTGATAACATTAAATTTTAATAAATTTAAAAGGACTTTTTTGGAAATGGTTTGTATTAGCAGAAGTGATAATAATTTAAACAAAAGATCAGAAATTCAAAATCTAAGCAAAATTTATAATTATATTACTTACTTCTCTATAGTTTATTCATTAAAATATCACATTTTAATTTAATATTCCATATACTTGTTACATTTTTTAGACATCCCTTAATGATGAATTAATCTTCTTTTTTATTACTAAATAAAAAAGAAATTTTTAAACAAAATTTTATTTTTTGGCAATATAATTATTGTCAAAAATGAAAATTGTAAGTTGGCATTCATGACATTGAGGCTTTTTGTAATTGGTCGCTATTCTCACTTATTTACAAACTCAATTATTTTTGTTAAAAAGTTTTTCAAAATTACTAAATTTAGAGAAACATTCACGTGATATATTTTTTTAAATAGTTTTTTAACATGTTAAGCAGTTTAGATTTACAAACAAAACAATTTTATTTGGTGAGTTAAAATTTATTTTTCTAGTTTCACTTTGTAAGATTTTTTGTATTTTTTAGAAGCTCTTGATAAAGATTGTAAACACAATTGAATAATACGGGGCATATTTTCTTGTATAAGACTTATATAATCGAACTTGAACTTTTCAAGCTTACAACCATTTACAAAACCTCCGTAGAATTTAGTTCAAATTAAATGGCAAGGAAATATTCGGAAGGCTAGTTAAAAACACAACTTAAAGGTCCTACTACCTTTTAGTAGCCCCCCCTTTTTTTTAAATCACTGTTTTGTTAATGAACAACATTAAGGGCTGAAATTAACCAATATTATATAAGAAAAGTCAAAGTTTCAAGCAAAACTTTTAGCAAACAAAATAATTGAAAATTGTTTAAAGTTGAGTGTTTTAATAAAAGAGTACTTTGCGTTCCGACTGGAGTAAAAGGAGTGGGAGTAGCCAACTAAAGGGTCAACTGCGTTCTCCAAAAAATAGAGAGCTTGGAAAAAATGACATATGACAGACCCCCGACAAGAGGAAGTAAGGCTGGAAAATGCCCTCTAGAAAGTTCTTGAAGAAGGATGGTCCTTACGTCGCACTGCCAAAGAATATAACATTCCCTATGGAACCCTTAACCGCTATAATGGCCGACATGGCAGAAAAAATTGTGGGCAGACTGTATTTTCCACGTACGAAGAAAAAAACATAATACAGCGTGCTGCAATATCCAGCGAGTGGGGATTTCCCCTTGGCTTGCGAGATATAAAATATTTAACCAAACAAAAGTGTTTTGGATGCACAGGGTCGACAAGTGCCTCTTTTCAAAAACAATTTACACGGAACTGACTGGGTATATTTATTACTGAGACGGCTAAAGGAGAAATTACCCAAAAAGTGGCGACCAATATTAAATGACCTAGAGCTAATATTTCGAAAGAAACTTTAGTTGCCTACTTCGAGAATCTGCGTAGAGAATTTTAAAATGTTCCACCTAATAACATTTAATTACAACGAGACAACTGTACAAGATAACCCCAGAAATAAGAAAATGATATTTCAACGCGGCACCAAATATCCCGCAGGGGTTTTTAATTTTAATAAAGTGCCAACGAATATAATAATGTGTGCTTCGACTACAGGATTGCTGTTACCACCATATATAATTTATAAAGCAAAAAAAATGTGGTTTAAATGGACTGAAAATGGTCCAAAAGGATCACCTTGCTGTACTGGCAGATACTGCTTGGTAGGTTCTCGATATAATCGCAACCATCATGAATGGATAGATTCATAGACATTTACGGATCGGTTTACTTTGACCTTTTTACTACATGCAAAACGTCTTGAAGGGCGAAAAATCATGATAGAAGATAACCTTTCGTCACATTTTACCGATGAAGTGATATCTTTATGCGAACAAAACAGTGTGGGCTTTATATGTTTGGTCAAAAACTCAACACATTTGACCCAACCACTTGATGTCGATTTTTTCCGTCCTTTTCAGATGACTTCAAGGGAAACTCTTAGAGGTTGGAAAAAACTGTCACCCCACATTAACCACAATAGATAAGAATGATTTTTCAAATTTGTTAAACACTAGCCTTCAGCACATGGACAAAAAAAAAACAAAAACAGCGGACGAAAAGAGCGCTATGACACGAATTGTAGTTTCCTCCTTTGCAGCCACCTAGAGAAGATGAAGAAATAGGGGGCCAAATCGACAACCTTTTGGTACATTATCTAAAGGAGAAAAGATATTTAGCTGCACCATCCAGCTGAAATATTAAGCGAACCATACTAAATGTCAAGCCAGGAAAAAGTGTTGTAGCTCAGCAACCTGATGAAACTGAAAGCGACAGTGAAGAAGAGCCACCAAGTGATAACAAAACAGAAAATGAAACGTCTAAGTTGGATGAGTTTGGCAATAATGATGAGGTTAAATATTTTGCCTATAACAAGGATGACATCAAAGAATGAGTTTCTCTGTTAGTAAAGGTATTGGGCCACAGACATTAAGGCGAGAATAGAACGAGCTAGAGCAGCATTTAGCAATATGAAAAAGCTCCTCATAGAGGATTTGTCTCTCCGCTAAAACTACGTCTAGTTAAATGCTACATTTTTCCGATCTTACTGTATGGTGTGGAGGCCTGGACGCTGACGAGAAAACTAGAAGCATTCGAAATGTGGGTGTACCGACGTATTCTTCGTATATCCTGGACCGAACATGTCACCAACATAGAGGCACTCCAAAGAATCGGAAAGGAGAAAGAAATCGTGAATACAATTAAACAAAGAAAGCTTGAATATCTAGGCCTCATATTGAGACACGATAAGTACCGTTTGCTGCAATTGATTGTCCAGGGAAAAATAGACAGTAAGCCAGGGCCAGGCAGCAGAAGACACTCGTGACTCCAAAATCTGCGGAAGTGGTTCGGGCTCACATTGGTTGAACTATTCAGAAGTGCCGCAAACAAGATCATAATTAAAAATCAAAAGACTGATATTTTTTTGTACACACTTATGACAAGTCGAAAGAAAATGCAAAAAAGTATTTTTGAAGTGTGTATATTTTAGGCAATTCCTAGCTGAGCGCTTTCGGCTTTACAAAGCCATCATCAGAGCTATGGTCAATTTTTTAAATACCCCTACAAAGGAGAGATCTCATTTCCTTAAATTTCAAAATTATGATTTTGTAGGTGTTGAAATTCTTAAAACATATAAAAAGCCGACACTGGACTTCACAAACACGTAAAAAAATTGAAAAAATTTTTTGTCATGGTACGGGTTTAAGAACCCGACCATTGATTGATGTGAGGACGTAGACTGAATAGTCTATGGCAAGATCATAATTGCCATGTTAATAGCCAACGTTCGCAACGGACAGGGCACTTGAAGAAGAAGAAAGGTATTGTGAATAAGAAGGAAGAAACAATACTATTGCTAAAATTCAAAAAACCAATGAAAAGGACCTAGACGTTGTAGGATATAAATCTACAGATAGTAGTAAAGAAAGTACAGA